TGGGAGCCTTTGGGGAGGCGGCCGAGCCGGCCGGGCCGGGGTTTGGGTCTGCACCGGCCCCCGGGGCGTGAGGGGAGGGTAGAGCAGCAGCGGGTTGTTCGTTAATAAACCGTCGTTAACAGTTACAGTATCGGAGAAACTCTGATGCTGGGAAGTTTCACATTTACCAGTCTCGTAATCTCTTTTAAAAATCTCATTAAAACCGGTCTCCTAAGACAAGAATTGATTTTACTGCTGCAGTTGCTATGTGAGCAACGTAACACTAGCTCAGACGTAAAGTGGTGAGCCAAGAGGTTTTTACTAAATTTGTGAACGGCGCTGTCTAGCAGAAGGAGCTCCTGGTCAGGAACGTGACATGTTTCCACCATTGCTGTGCTCTGCCAGGGTTTGCAGATGTTGATAGATTTGGAGTTACCGAATGTGCTGCTTGAACAGACAGAGCTGTGCGTTCACGAGCTTGACTTCAGCTTCCTGGCTGTGAACACACTGAACTTCTGTGTTAACAGAACGTGGAGAGCTTTCTCTGACACACCGAGTCCAAATAGCTTTTAATTATTAACTGTGGAATAGGTGTGCTTTTTCTTCTGAAGCAATTAAGTGTCTGTGATAAGAGTGCAGCTTTCACCTTTTGTGTGTGAGTATGTGATAACCTTAATACAAATAGCCCCCGTGATGAGGGTGACTCTGGGCGAAGGTACTTCGTTGGTCATGCGTGCAAACGTACTTCACTGGTCAAGGCCTAAACTTTCAGGGTTGAGTTTTGTTTGTTTGAGTTGGTTGTTTTTAGTGCCCACTAAAAACAGCAGTGTCGGGTAGTTCAACAAGACATTGTCAGCATCAGGATTTTGAAATGCCACCTATGTGTATTCTTAAAGGTTATAATCCTGCAGATACTTGACCTGGCTTAAATCAGGCTGTGGTTCTATAAGCTAAGTCATCCTTGTGGCCTGTCTGCATGCAGTGGTACCCCGTACTCCTTGGGCCTCCCACCTAACACTGCCTGGGGTGCGCAGCCCTGGTCTCCACTCCTAGAGCTGCCTCTTCTACTGCCTGGGGCTGCTGCCACCAGCAATGTATTTGGTTGCCACAGTCCTTGTCCTCCAGCCCTCCACTGTAGCGAATGCACTTTCAAATAGTGCATCTGCACTTAAAACAGGCTTTGTTTAAAGAACAAAATAAATAAAAAACTCTTAACACCCAAACCCACTCTTTTGGTGGTTGATGTCACACTGGGTACAAAGTTAGTACAAGACCTGATCATACCTTCTTCTCTCTTAAATTTCTGGTACCTCAGAAGTGGGGCACAAAGAATAAGTGTCTTTCCTCTGTGGACATCCTTATCTGAACAGTGCCAGAATGATCTGCTGGGGAACGGGAAAACAACTTACTATTGCGTTTCTTATCGCTAATACAGGGTAGTCTAGGGAGCTGGGTTAGTCCCAGGACACTTTGAGGCAAGGTCTACGTCTCGGTTTCAGTTTGCGTGTCAGCAGCTTCTGATTGCCGTTAGCTGATTACGGTAACCTTTGGTATGATTGTGTAGCAGGTCACAGCTGCCCTTCTTGGAAGAGGGTGCAAGAATGCCTTTAGCTGTAGCGGCTGGTGTGTACTTCCTCATGTACCTGCGATGGGGCTAGCAAGCCTGAATAGCCCGTACTCAAAGCCCAAACCATCTTTACCTTTTTTGTGCATGTGCCAGAGCCATGTTAATGCTTTTGTCTTTCTCGGACAGTACAGCCAGCAGCATTAACACTTAATTTTCTTGCTGTGATTAGTGAAAGGTGAGACCCGCAGCACTCTCTGCAAGTGGGAGCTGGTCTGAATATATGACCCCTGGGAGCAGTTAGCTCAGGAAACAATGAGAGCGATGCAGAGCCATCGGCATCGCCTGCTGTCGGAGCCTCTCCTAGCTCTCGGTTTGAAGAAAAGAAGTAATGGTGCAGTGGTGGTGTGGTCTGAGCACCTCACGGGAACCTCGCTGGTACCGCTTCTGTAAGGGAAGTTGTCACCTTCCTGGCACATAAGCTGTTTGATAGCCCAGCACTAGAGCTGATTCAGGTGTGGTGGCAAAACCCCTTTACTAGTGTTTGACACTGGAACAGAGTTCCACTGGCCTGTTTCAGTTTAAGAGCAAGTCTGTCTGCATTTTAGATGCCTTAGTTATGCTTGTAGCTAAAAGTTCTGTTTCATCAAGAGTCTGTAGTCTCTCTTGATATAAATCTAGTCAGATAAGGGATCTACTTTAAAGAGAAAAACGTTTTGGTTATACCCTCTCCCTTTCCCCACACCAGAAACAACCTGAGATCATGAGGCTTTCCCTGGGCATGTCTGATGCATCAGTGGCTGTCGACTTCAGAGAGGCTCTAGGTTTTTACCTGGTTCAAGTATGGTGTGTCATGGCCTCTAGAAATAGCTACAGAGCAAGGCAGAGGCTTTTTTTCTGGGATAGGAGCAGGAATGTAGAGAACTTGTTCCTTTTTTAGGTCTTCGGGCAAAGGTTTTCCTGCTGCTTGATCTGTTTTTTCCAGGAGGGAGGGGAGAGTAAGGGACTGGAGAAACAACCCTCCTCCTCTTCTTGCATGGTTTACTTCATTAAATCATCAGCCATCAAGCTCATAGTGTACTTGCTAAGGTCTCGTTCTGCACTGGCGTGCTGAGGCAGCAGGGCACAGGAATGAAAATGGTTCCTGAGCAAGTTGGGAATCCTGCTCTTGTCCTCATGTGAAAATAGTGGGGCTGTATGGAGCATGAAGTAAAATGCCTGTATAGCCTGGTCTGCCAGCGCTGTTGGTCCCACCAGCAGAGAGCACTGATGGTGAATTACAGCTTTAACTGTCGCTGATGGGGACACTTTTCTGTCCTGGGCGTGCCTCGAGGTCTGTGAGGGGGCAGGCAGCGCTGGGCTTGGTGTGCAGGCGGAAGACTGAGCTGGGAGTCAGGCAGAGGAGATCGTCCTTGGTGCGGTAGGTGCGAAGTCTGGGCTTGCTGTGTCACCTCTCTGGTTTCTGTTGTGTCGGTGTCGGCTCCCCCAGTAGATCCAGCGCAATATCTGGCGGGCTTGCTGCCGAGCCAGTGCCTGGTACTGTGGCTGTGGGGCCTTGTCCGGTGTGCTTCTGCTCCGGCACTTTCTCCGAGCGCTTACCTGTCCTTTCTGGGCACGCACAGCCTTGTTGCATGGAGACATGTTTTATTTTTACCCTTATTTCCAAGGGGATTTCACAAGCAGCTGGACTGCACTGTGTGTTTGTTTCTTCTGCCCGTTCCCACCATGCTCGAACGGATTAAGACGACCTCCCTCCATTGTTCCTGGTGAGGGCATTCTCACCTACCGTGAAACCGTGCTGACAGCAGGCGGATGGCATTTGGGTGTGCCTCCTCTGCTCTGTGCAGGAGAGCTGACAGCTCCATGTGGCAGTGTAGTCTCCTACGCTGTACAGGCTGTGAGGGAAGGCAAGCTCAAAGGAGGAGGAAATACAGTAACTCACAGGGGAGTGCTGGAAGTCATGTGAGAGCATGAGATGCAGCGGTAGTGTCTCATGTCCTTTTTTAGGGGGTACTTAGTAACATGAGGTGTTCATGACATCCTCAAGGTTACACTTACTTGCATGGGAGAAATGCTTTTCACCACTTTATGTCTGGGGAAAACATGGTAAAGGGCAAACGCTTGACATTTGTGTGTGTGCAGCTGTAGTCAGAGGTGAACAGCTGTGTCCTTGGTGTGTACAGATCATGTGTACTGTGTATTCAAACTCTGTCACTTCTGTGGCAGACAGTGCTACTATTGTAGGTGACAGTGCAAGACACGCTCCTTTCCTGCCATTTATAAAGCACAGCTTGTATCCTGATAATCGGCTTCCATGGTCACAGAGTAAATCAGGGCCAGCTTGCAAACCCAGAAGCCCTGACCTGCTATCCAAACTGTTACTGATGCTTCCTGTGTGTCCTCTTTCCCTGCCGAAGGGATCTCGCTTCTTCTCCCTCCTCCTCGCAAACTTGCGTGCAGCTCAACCTGGTCTTTCTGTTACTGTAGGTCTTCTGAAAGGATGAAAGTTGGTGATTGGAAAGTCACCGTCGCTGTCCTAAGCTTCATCCTAACTTCTGGAGTCCCAGTGGATGTCTTCGGGTGTATGAGCCTGCGAAAGCGTCCACTGTCCCCTTCCAAGATTTAGACAGCGGCTTGGAGCATGCATCATTGTAAGGTTTAGATGATTTCCGTGCTGGCAGTGGCACTGTCCTTTTCCCAGTCGGTGCAAAGGGGTTAATTGCACAGTGGAGCTGCCTACCTAAAAGATCCTGAATCTCCAAGGGTCTCTCCCTGCTCCCTCCTTTTGTGCTGGCCAGCATGTCCCTGGGCTCACTCATGCCAGATCAGTCCCTGCCCTCCCCACCATCACCCGCTTCCAGTAGCGCAGCCGGCCTCTGGCTCGCCCTGCGCCTGACCTTCTCTATCCCTTTTTGCACGCTGTGATTCCAGAGCGGGATGGTCGGCCACCGAAGCTGCAATGTCGTCCCTGACGACCTCCAGTGAGGGAGAGAACTCCACTCCCAGGTTTGTTGTCGGTTCCAGAGACGATGAGACAGACTTTCTGGGATCAAACATGAAGACAAACGAAACTGAATTCTTTGAAGATGATGAAGAGGAGGAGTCGGTAAGGAGGTCCTGGCATTCTGGGTTGGAGCATCTGTGCAGAATTCCTGGGTCTCAGCCAGGGTTTGCACAGTTGCTGCTGAGGCCGCAGGCAGTTGGGACGTCAGGGGACGTGGCACCAGGCTGTGTGGCACAACGTGGAGAACGGCAGTGTCATTTCTGACAGGACGCATGGCATTGTCATGCTGCCATACTTGCTGCCTCATGCTGCAGTGAATCCTAGCTCCTGACTGCTTTTGGCCCCTGTGCAGTGTTATATTAAACGTTGCACTTGCTGTTCTGCGTGTGGGACTTGGGTGCTGCAGGAGCATTGCTGCTGGCTGTGCAAATTGCTGGGTCCATACACCAGTGCAGCGGTCGTGACCATTGCCCCTGTACCCTGAGTCTCCATTGCAAATGGGTTGTTGACCGAGGCTTCCTTCAAACCCACACAGTGTTGTGTACCTCGATGCTCAGTGAGGAGCTATTTGTCAGGTGTGGTGAAGGATTTGGAAACCCTTTCCCTTCCCAGATGTTTGTTTTGCTATGGAACCTTGGCTTTTTAAGTCAGTGCAGTAACTTCTGAAGTCTCAGCTTACAATTTGAAGCCACAATGGTTTGTGCTGGGTAACTTGCAGTCCTGTGTGTATCGCTTAGATGATCTCACTGCGTTTAGTCTCGCTTGGGCCAGAATTAATCTGTTGGGAAAACATCCAGTCTGGTGTTTCTAGATCATGATGGAAAGTCCACTACAGACCTTAGCCTGTTCCTCTGTTGCAGTCACCACTGCTTTTTGAATGCACACCTTCTCTCTCGACTTACTCAACTTTGTCCCACTGGATCTTGTACCTTTGTCAGATATGTGGAAGAGCTCTTGGTACTGTTTCTCATAGCTACTTGCTCTTGTAATCTCCCCTTCATTTTCTCTCAGATGAGACAGACTGAGCTCCTGGACTTTTTTGCTATAAAACATTTGCGGCTCTTCTCTGAGCCTGCCTAAGTCCACCAGCTGTCTTGGTGAGTTATGGGCCAGAGAACATGATGTGGGATTCCAGTCCCTGCTACTTGTTCTGGTGCCAGGTATTTATTTCTGACCTTAACATTAGTGCCCAGTAAAAGGAGGCGGCCCATACCACCTGGCAAAGAAGCGGTTGGTTTGGGCTGCTCCTTAATGATGTCCCCCAGTGGACTCTAGTGGGAGCTAGAAGTGTGTGTGGGTTCAAGTCTAGCAAGAGCTGTGAGTGCACAAGGTTGGAAGGAAATCTCTTTGTTTGTTCTGTGTTGCTGCATTTCTACACTGTTATAGTCTAAATTCAGTAAAGTAGTTGGCGCTGCACTAAACCAATCTCTGTCTTCCCTTAGCCACCTGAACGGCAGATTGTGGTTGGAATCTGTGCCATGACCAAAAAGTCCAAGTCAAAGCCCATGACACAGATTCTGGAGCGTCTGTGCAAGTTTGAGTACATCACAGTGGTGATTATGGGGGAAGATGTTATTCTGAATGAACCGGTGGAGAACTGGCCCTCTTGTGACTGCCTGATATCCTTCCACTCCAAAGGTAAAAAGTCTGTGGCAGGCCTTAGCCTACCTGAGATCTGGGCAAGGGAGCTTCCACTCATTCTTCCTCACCCTCCCTTGCTGTATTTCAGGATTCCCCCTGGATAAAGCGGTTGCTTATGCCAAGCTGTGCAAGCCATTTCTGATTAACGACCTTGACATGCAGTATTATATCCAGGACAGGTAGGTGTCTGTGATCCACTAAAGCCCCTTCCCTCTTCCTTTGCCCGATTCCTCTCCTTGGCATGCTGTGCAATCTTTGTCTTCCTGGGCACAAGCAAATGAGTGAGATAGGGAGGAAGGGGACCTTGGCAGCGGCTTTTAGCCACAGCATGGAGGGGAATAGATTTGGGGGTAAAACCATTGAGACTTGGCATGTTTCATTTTCTGGTGCAAATGTTTTATAATGAGTGGCTAGATGAAGTAGGAAGTGGAAGATGTCTCACAGAATGAGACTGCCACGACTCAGACAAAAAAAAACTCGTCTCTGAGTAGGAAGCTAAGTAGTGGGATGGCATTGTGGGACAGAAATTGGGATCAAGGCCAGGTCAGATTCTGGGGAGGGTCAGACGCTTCAAGAGGCTTCTCAGTCAGCTCTTGGTAGAGGCCACAGCAGTCATATACTTCAGTGCATACAGCCAGACTGCTTTGGCTGTGTGTGGGTAGGGCTTGTACCAGACCCCAAACCTCCTGCCATGCCTTTGGGTTGTGAGTGGTGTTCCTGTGGGTGCTGACAGGCACCCCAAGGTGTAACTCGAGTGAAAGAACTGCGGTTTGCCCACTGACACAGGATGAAAAGAGGCTCTGCCACGTCTGCCTGGCCTGGGCGTTGGGCAGCTTAGCGTGACAGGCCACCCTTCGAGAGGGCAGATCTGGGTAGGTGGCGTGTGCTGGATGTGTTGCCGTGGATTGGGCACGTGCTAGTAAATGAGCATCCATGCTTAGGCCAGGTAGAGCTTTACTCTGGGACGTCGCTGTCTGGTGTAGGACTGAGGCACGCCCCATAGGCTCTAGGTGTTATCTGGAGAGCATGTGCTGAGAAGTGTTTGTACTCTGTCTTGAGGCTTTTTTGTGTTCATTTGACTTTGTTCTTCGTCAGTCAGAGTGAAGCCTCTCCCTTGGCATGTACTGAGGACCTTCTGGACTCTTCTGACACTGTTTCTGTCCTCTACAGGCGTGAAGTGTATCGGATCCTTCAAGAAGAGGGAATAGACTTGCCCCGCTATGCTGTGCTCAATCGAGACCCTGATAGACCAGAAGGTCAGTGTCCAGACTCTACTGAAAGCCATTTTCATGTACTGTACTACTGAAGATTTTCTGCATAGAACAGGTACTGATCATCAGCTTGAAGGGGCCTGATTCACGGGTCTTGTTTTTTGTGGACAAAGGTCCCAACAGCAAAACTGGCTGACCGGCCAGGACTGAAGGGCTTTGGCTCTGCACTAGGGCTGTCTCACCCTTTTCTAACTTGCTGCTGCTGTGCTTTGTCTTCAGAGTGCAACTTGGTGGAAGGAGAGGACCATGTGGAGGTAAATGGAGCTGTTTTCCCAAAGCCATTTGTAGAGAAGCCAGTCAGTGCTGAAGACCATAATGTGTATATTTACTACCCAACGTCAGCAGGTGGGGGCAGCCAGCGGCTCTTTCGGAAGGTGAGAAGGGGAACTCCAGTTTTGGTGTTGGAATCAACAGATCTGTGGCTCTGAGACCTATGTGGCTTCAGGAGGGAGTGTTTGGGCAGGTGAAGGGGAAAGGAAGGTTTCATGGGGGGGGAAATACAGACCTTCCTAGAACTTTTAGTTCGACCCCATCTACCTGGGAATTGCAGAATGGCGTATTTTAGTGGTGGTGCTGACTTTGCCTTCCCCATCTTCTGACCTGTGTCCTGTCTAGCAGTCATGGAGAACTGTGTCCTTTATTGAATTGCATGCTGTTTTTTCCAGATCACTTCCTCAGTTCATCAAGATAATTTATTTTTTTTAAACTTATATTCCTGTCCTCTAACATCATTGTTGCCCTTCTCAGCTTAGTGTAGCTTGCAGATGTGATAAACGCAGTATTTATTCCTAGATTCCACAGGAAATCTGCCCTTATTCACTTCCTCCACTTTGCCAGTGAACAGATGATAGCTGTGATATATCTTTTTTTCCGACCAGTTGTGCAAACGATTGCTTCCTTAGCTAACTTACAGGCATACCACTTGAGGTTGTATCCAAGCCTTACTAAAGTGAAAACAACATCGTGTTCTGTCCATAAGATCAGTCAATTGTCCTAGAAGGAAGTTAAATTGGTCTGATTGTTACCTGTTATTTATTTTCATTTGCTTATTAGCTAGGCCTCTTACTTTCTAGGTCTTTATCCACTGTTTTTTTGTTTTATATCTCTGTAGTGACTGGAGGCAACCTAATGATCTGTCATAACCTTTCTCCTCTTTAAAGCCTGGAAAAGGACATACCTCCTGTGTTTTGGAGTCTCTTTTGTGCTCCATGAATAACTGTGCTGTAATAGCTGGGGGTTCTGAGAGGCATTCCACCAATTTTCTACATATGGGATGAAACTTAACACCTTTTGTTCTTCCCTCTAAGAGAAGAAGCCCCATGCTCCTCCCTGAGGTGTTTATTCTGTGCTTTCAGATTGGCAGCCGGAGTAGCGTGTACTCCCCAGAGAGCAGTGTGAGGAAGACAGGCTCGTACATTTATGAGGAGTTCATGCCTACAGATGGCACTGATGTAAAGGTATGGAAAACCTGGAATATAGCTCCTTCCTTCTCCTGGGATAGCTGAAGGTTGGGCAGTCCTACTCAGTCCAACTTAAATTCTGGCGTGTTTGCTTAAGCTGTGAGGTACTGACTGTGCAGCTGGGATCCCAAAGCGGGGAGTGGCTGTTCCGTAGGTCATAACGGGAGGAATGTGCGAGACCATCTGATCACCTTCTCTGTGTGTCTGCAGTAGAAATACCTTCTGGAAGCTGCAGTTAGTCTAGGTGGTTATGTCAGGTGTAACTATTTCTCTTCCCAGGTGTACACCGTTGGGCCGGACTATGCCCATGCAGAGGCTCGCAAATCCCCTGCTTTGGATGGGAAGGTTGAACGGGACAGTGAAGGGAAAGAAATCCGTTACCCAGTCATGCTGACTGCCATGGAGAAACTAGTTGCCCGGAAAGTCTGTGTGGCCTTTAAGGTCTGTGTTTTCTCTCTTGTGCAAGCAGGATGCTCCACAAATGTCTGATTCGAATCTCGGTCAGTGCTGAAGCTCAAGCTCTGTTACCCTGACATGTCTCTGGTGTGGCATCTTCCACGCCTGATCCCAGTTGCCATCTCTGCTGGCTGGGTGCAGCTGATCCTGCTGGTCATAGATGACTGGGAAGGCAGGAGGGCTTGCAGCAAACGCCCTCTGTGCTGCAGGTGGCTGGTGTCCAGCGTACATCTGAGCGTTTAACATCAGATTCCGAGCATGCTGCTGTCCACTGTCCTGCGCTTGTCCTGCCTTAACTGTTTCCTAGTTGTGTTTGTGTGGAAAGCTTGGTGGTCTTTTCTTCTGGTTTGGGTTTTTTTTTTTTGTATTTTTGATCTGGGTTCGGTGCACACTTGTGTTCTGTTTTACAGGTTGGTAGAGTGAGTGTGTGAGTCTGGGTATGGTTACATGACATGTTCAGCAATGTCAGCAGAAGAAGCACTTGGCTACTTGTTCCTGCCCCCGCTGCAACCTGCAGGCCGTGCAGTTGTGCTGTACAGCTGTGGGCTTGTTCTGCCTTGTAGCCTTTTCCACGTAGTGATAGATGACTTTGCCTGCACCGCTTATTGCGTGTATCTGTCAGTCTGGTTCAAAACGGTTGGATTTAGAGGCAAGAGCAGGAGAGCTGGGAGCTGCTCTGTCTTAAGTCTTTAGAGCTCTGCGAGATAGAGGGCTGGCCCTGGCAGCTTAATCTGGGAGCTCGTGGGTTGGGCCTTTGATACAGCTGTGAGGGTGTAAAGGTTTCTCTAAAGGGCCTGCACTGCTGGCTAGTGGCTGTATTTTCACACTCCTTCAAGGCTCCTGAGGTAGGCATAGAGTGGAGGACAGTGGCAGCACCCGTGGAGCTGAACTGGGCAATGCATGGCGGGCCAGCCGCTGTCCCCTTGCTGCCCCCCCGCACAGCGGGCCTGAGTCCTGTGTCCTCTGCTTCCTCCTGCAGCAAACAGTGTGTGGGTTCGACCTCCTGCGGGCAAATGGCCACTCTTTTGTTTGTGATGTGAATGGCTTCAGTTTTGTGAAGAACTCCATGAAGTATTACGATGACTGTGCCAAAATCCTCGGGTACGTAAAACTCGAGTTTTGATAGCGGGTAAGGTAACTCATAGCGAAGTAGGATGAATGTGGAGTCTTGATTAGCGTTGGAGAAGTCTGCAGGTGGTTTATATGGGGGCATCTGTTAAGCCGGTGAAAGCTTGGCTCTGGGAGGAATGGGTTAATTATTTTTAGCCCCTGGAGCTCCTGCCTGCATTGGCATTAGCTGTCTCTGTCTACAGCTAGATGTATCTTCCAGGACTTTTCATTGGATGCTAAGCCCAGCTGCAGTATTGGTGATGTGAGGGAAACTGGTGTCCCTTTGGGGTGCCCTAACTAGCACATGGTGTGATAGATGCGTCTGTGAGGAAGGTGAGGAGAAGTTCTGTGGCTCTCTTCAAATCTTTCAGCTGGAGTACTAAGGAGGAGGTGGAGAACCAGGGGAATGGAATTTCTTGTGAGTTTTGTATTCTAATTTCTTCCAGAAATATAATCATGCGGGAGTTGGCTCCCCAGTTTCATATTCCCTGGTCCATCCCAACAGAGGCAGAAGACATTCCCATTGTCCCCACAACTTCAGGCACCATGTGAGTATCTTCCATCTTCTCTAAAGAATGCTGGTCATGGCTATATGAGGGACAAAGAGAGACATCACCCAGCAGCATGGCGTTCTCCAGCTGCTGTGTTGGTTGCAACCCTGAAATGCCCGTGGAAACGCTTAGCCATGCAGATGAAAGGGGTGATGTGCAGTAAATTAGTCGTAGGTTTGATGAATGCAGACAAGCAGTCATTGAAGACGTTACAGAAACTGTTCACATGGCTTTCAGAAAGCCCAAATTCTTGATCAGCACAGGAAACAGACTAGGGCATCGCTGTATCTGGCTCACTGTTCGGTAGGCTGCTACTTGGAGAAAATGTGTGTTGAGCTGCCAGGGAAATGGGTGGAAAACAACTAACTGAAGTATTCATGTTGCCTGTACGCTTGGCAGACTGTCATTTGATACTGTTGGCCTTAGTAGTTTTCCACCACGTAAGGCTAAAAGATGAAAGGCAAAAGTTTCTTTGTGATCCTCAGCACACTTGTATGAAGGGAACAAAGTAGGTGCTACAGCAAAGGTAGATTGAGAGCATGTATTCCTCCTTCCTTTACCGTGTGGTCATTTGGAAAAAGTTGGCAAACACAAACGCTGCACGGCCCACGGGACTGCTGGCTTCAGTGACACCTTGTGACAATGAGACTGACAGAATCAATCCATTTCTCTGGGATCCTATAAGAAATAGTTGGATGTTGTAGTATCTGAAAAAGCAAACTCATGTAGCCCTTCTGAAATTAGCCAGCCTAACTTGTTCCTGCAGGGGGCTGATTGCTACAAGACCTTTCTACATACAGCTCTTACAGGTTGCTCAAAGACAGGACCTCAACTGTATAACCATTCTTCTGAACTATGTTGTTTTTTCCTGAGCCTTTCTAAGTGGTCCTGTGAGCATTACACTAGTTGGGCATGAAAACAAGGTTGGCACAATTCAAAATGTTATTTCTGTAGATTCTGTAACATCCAGCCTGGTCCTTTCTGCTTCAGACGTGGTTCTGCCTGTCATATTATGGTACCATGGTGCTTTCCCCTAATGGGAAACCAGGTGATCTGGTAGTGTCTGCAGTACTTTGACTGCTTTGACAGCCTTGGCACTTGTGCCTGGTTTAGTCTGGGAGAAGTTCTGCCACCGAGGAGGAAAGCGGCTGTCAAAAGGATGGAACTGAAAGAACTACTTTCTGGTGGCAATTCTGGAGTGTAGGGGCTCATTTGTCAGGTATATCTTGTGTTTCCCCAGGATGGAGCTTCGTTGTGTTATTGCAGTCATCAGGCACGGAGATCGCACCCCGAAGCAGAAGATGAAGATGGAAGTTAAGCATCCCCGGTAAGAGTCAAGGCAAGAAGATGCTGTGCTGCTGGGAAGTGAGGAGGGCCTGTCTTCTGAATTGAGAGGAGGAGCAGAACAGCTGAGTGCGTGGGAGGCAGTGCTTTTTCCTGGCTCCATTCAAGTAAATGCTTTCTGCCCAGTTGAGGGAGCCCCCTTTCCCCATAACGATCCTGGCACCTTCTGTGTGAACGCTGGAAGAAAGAGCAAAGGTCTGATAGGTGCTGCAAAGGGAAGTGCCCCACTAAATGGGAAGCTAGTGGCTGCTTCCTTTTCGTCCCTGCCGCTGGAAACACTTGCTTTTTTCAGAATTTCTGAAGCACAGGAAGGAGCCAGTGAGCCTGCTGGTTCTCCCTGAAGAAGAGAGTCTGAATACATATGTAGGGATGACAGTCATTTTAGCACTGAAACAGCAGAAGATGGATCAGGGTTCTTTGTTGTCTGTTCAGGTTCTTTGAATTATTTGAGAAATACGATGGCTACAAGACGGGAAAGTTGAAGCTGAAGAAACCAGAGCAGCTGCAGGTAAGGGGAGTCTTCTCTGGGGTTACTGCATGAGACATGCAGGTAATACAGATCCCAGCGTGAGGCAGTTCTTTGGGAGGGTGGAAACCCCCAAAAGGGCAACAGTCTGTTGCACAAACACTCCCTTTCTCATTCAGCTGCACACTCAGCTGGGTGACAGTATGAGAGTGGGATGGAAACTGTTCTTGGCTGATGCAAAAACCGTAGGATGGGGATGACCTGATGCAGCTTGCCCATCTGTTGTGGTTGCCTCTGGTGAAAGGTGGGCCCAGGCTAGGGAGTGGGGCAGTTGGAGGCACCTCCTTGGTTCTGAATGGGGCTGGAGCACAGCATGGGGATGAAGCAAACTGCAGTGTGAAAGTTTGTTGTGCCTGAGCTGTCTCCTACGAAATGAACATGTCTCTGATGGGTGTCTATGTGGACTGGATGCTGGGTGAAGCCATCTGGAGGCCTTGCTAGACTACAGTGGTGAGCCTGAGACAGAATTGATGGATGCTTGAGACTGTCTGCTCTCCAACAGGAAGTGCTGGACATTGCACGGCAGCTTGTGGTGGACCTGGGAACCCACAGTGATTGTGAGATTGAGGAGAGGAAATCCAAACTGGAGCAGCTGAAGAGTGTCTTGGAGATGTAAGGGTCATATCTCGGGGCACCGTGAGTTTGTCTCAGAGCCCAGGTCAGCATGCGATGTAGAAACAAGCTGTGTTGCTGATGTCCTGGCCAGCTGGCTCCCCAGAGGTCAGGGTCTCCTCCATCTTCTGTAAGCAGCTGTACATGAAAGGTGCCATGCTCTTAACGTTTTCTCCTTGGCATGAAAACCACTGCTGATTCTTGTTCCAAGTCTGTCTGGTTTTTGGCTAAACAACTTGAGGCAAAACTGAGCTTCCTTTTGCTGTGGGAGAGGAACTGGAGTCCTGTAGGGACCATGGTGTTATGAAGCATTTTGATAAATTTGGAACAAATCTTATTTTAAGTAAGGTTGTCCTGGTGCCAAAGTTTAACAAAAAGGAGCTTGGAAAACAAGAAAAGGTGCTAGTGCCCCCTTAGGTTTCGTACAGCTGAAATAAAAGACAATATGTGGAGGCATTGGCATCTTAGAAACAAAAGAAGGATTTCTCTTGGGACTACAGCTCGCTGTGGCATACACAGGCAGTGTCTGTATTCAGGCCATGTCTGTGGAGCACAGAGGATGAAATTTTGCTATGATTCCTTCCCCTGCTTTTTCTGCTCATTAGAGATGTGGTTATCCTCAGAGTGGATGGCAGATTGTTTTTTTTTTCTGTGATCTCATTAATTCACTCATTAAAGATGTAGACAGAAATTAGCTAAGGTTGATTAGAGCCCCAGTGGGGTATGAGAGCACAAAGTGCTGTCAGCTGAAGAGCAGACAAGTGAAATGATCTTTGAATTTCATTTGGGGCAGTTGTTTGGGTTTTTTGGGGATGTGTGCTGGGTCGCAGGTAGGTGGCAAAAATGTTCTTGTTCCTGGCAATTGGTGCTGCAGCAGAAAGTCTCTTGCCTGTGCTGCATTTTTGCTGTGTGCTGCCTAGGGACCTCTGGGCAAAGGGTGAGTGGAGCTGATTGGTTTAAATTTTTTTTCGCCCTCTTCTTGTGACAGGTATGGACATTTTTCTGGCATTAACCGTAAGGTTCAGTTGACCTATCTGCCTCATGGACATCCAAAAGCTGCAAGTGAAGATGAAGGTAAACAAACCTGATGTTGCTGCCATGATCTTCAAGCCTGGTGTTCAAGAGTGCGTGCAGCTATCCTGCCTATATAGGTGTCTGCATGTGCAAGCAAAATTAGTGACCCATGTCGTATCTTTGCTCACATCATATGAAGGGTTGGAGTGATGCGTCTTATAGTGTATCAGTATGCCCCGGATGATGACGCAGAGCTTATGCTTCCCATTTGGTGAATGTCAGCCTATACCTCCAAAAAGTAGTGACTCCTGGTTTCCTACTTGCTGGTTTGGTTCCTGGGGATTTTGGGTCAAGCATATGTTGAGAGCACTCTGCAAGGTGCTGATGACAGCTTCTTCCTCCCCTCCTCTCCCCCTGCAAGCTCAGCTTTGAGATCTGACGTAGTGAGTACCTGTTTGTCTCCTAGAAGCTCGCCGAGAGTCTTCCCCATCCCTTCTCCTGGTGCTTAAGTGGGGTGGAGAGCTGACACCAGCAGGAAGAGTCCAGGCAGAAGAGCTGGGGCGAGCCTTTCGCTGTATGTACCCTGGTGGCCAAGGTGAGCTTTGTCCGTGTATCTCCAGTCCTGTCCTGTGACTGTGCCAGGCTGCACAGCCCAGGTGACTAATTGCCAGCGTGAGGGAGGCTCAGACATCTGTGGGCTGTCTGCAGCCTGTGTGACTCAGGTCAGCATTGGTTTTGTTCTTTTGAGTGGACCTGGTAAGGATAAAGAGTTCAAGTGGGTTTTACACCCAAAGATCCCAAAGCTGGCTAGAGGTGTCTGTTGCAGTGGTTAAACTTTAGTGTGTCTTGGAGCACAATAGCATTCTTTCAACTGTTGTGCCAGTATTCAAAAAAGAGAAGCCATTCTAATAAGATATACTCTAATGCAGCAAATATGATTCAAAATTGATGTATGATTAACAAGGAATTTAGGTCAGATGTGGAGAACCGAAGAGATCTGTCTAGGAACACAGATAATTCTGCCTCAAGACAGGAGAATAGGAAGGTAACTTCTCCCTACTTTGTCCACCGTAATTCTGTGACTCTGAAAAGCTTTTAGTACGCACACAGGTCAACAGGAGCCCAAAGGGGGGGAAAAAAAAAAAGGCTGAGATTGCTTTTTTCATTCAAGTAAAGAGTCAGAAGTAGTACACTGCTACTGTATTGATCTGATGAGACCAGTACTGGATACTGCTTATCTTTGACTGGTATGTTTAATTAATTAAATTTAATTAATTCACTTTCAAATTAATTAAGATAATTTAAATTGAATTGGAGAAAATTTCCTTCTGGAGTAAGGAAGAGTGACCCTTGGTGGAAGAGGATCAGGTGAGGGAATATTTAAGCAAACTGGACGTATGTAAGTCCATGGGCCCTGGCAGGATGCGCCCACTCCTGATCACCCGGAGCTGAGAGGATCAGCCACTGACTTGGACAAGAGGTTGGGAAGACAAGAAGACAGTGTGCAGGAGAGGCAATTCCAGTGGAAGTACAGGGAGTAGATTGTAGCGTAATGAGCCAAAACCTGAGAGGGAGAGACCTGTCTGCAGAGCTCTGGTCAAGTGGAGTGCAGTTACCAGCAAGCTGGGCTGAGCCCTAAGGTGTGGTCTGTGACAGTTCTGAACTGACTGTTCCATATCTGGTGAGCTGTGGCTGCCCTCTTGCTCACAGTAGAGCTCGGTCTGAGCACGTACAAGGTGACTTCAGTCCTTCCGAGTCATGGCTTTGGAGACTTCTGCTACGCATGGTCATTCAGAGGCGGGGAGAGATCTGACTTTGCAGTGAGATGCAGTTCCTGGGTAGCGTTGGCACATGGCAGCATTGTCCAGATCTACAGCTGACTTCTGGCTGGTGTCTGTCCTTGTCTAGCAAGGTGTTTCTCTGAGTTGTGAGCTCAGAGCTGGGAGCAGGTTTCCCATCTTCTCGTGCAATGTGACTGGGTACTGTGCGAAATCATCAGGGATTCCAGGCAGTGGCAAATTAGTCACCACTGCACTGTCTTTGGAGGGTCAAACTCAAGAGCTGCATGAGTTGTTTTCTCCCATTACTGATCTGAATTCTGTGGTTGACTCAGTTGTCATAAATAAACCAGCATCTTTTGCCGCCAGATAATTGTAGCTCTACAGGATGTGCTTTGGAAGGCAGGTG